GCTTCGGGAGAAGACACGGAGGAGACTGAGGCTCCGTAGTCCAGCTTAAACGCTGTACATATTGTGTGCACGGGTTACGCAAAGACGCGCGTGTATGGTCTTGGATATGGCGTTCCAGCGGCGCCGTTGAACTGCTGTCTAGAGCGCTCACAGGGTTCATACAGGGAACAACAGCAAAAGTGCCCCGCGGTCACGCATGTTTTCTTATAAAACTTGGATTCTCAGAGGGCCTACCTGCTCTGTCACCAACACACGCATGTGTCCGCGGCATCATGAGTGTTATTCTGGGATGCATGTGCGTTAACGCGATAATTTTGACAGCCATAATATATACAAAGTGGGGCCAAAAAAGTTTTTAGTCAGCCACCGATTGTGCAAGTTCTCCCACCTATAATAATGACAGAGGTCTGTAATTTTCATCGTAGGTACACTTTAACTGTGAGAGACAGAATGTGAAAAAACATTCTGAAAATAACATGGTAGGATTTTTAAAGAATTTATTTGTAAATTATGGTGGAAAATAAGTATTTGGGTCACTTCAAACAAGGAAGATCTCTGGCTCTCACAGACCTGTAACTTCTTCTTAAGAAGCTCTTCTGTCCTCCACTCGTTACCTGTATTAATGGCACCTGTTTGAACTCGTTATCTGTTTAAAAGACACCTGTCCACAGCCTCAAACAGTCAGACTCCAAACTCCACTATGGCCAAGACCAAAGAGCTGTCGAAGGACACCAGGAAAAGAATTGTAGACCTGCACCAGACTGGGAAGAGTGAATCTACAATGGGCAAGCAGCTTGGTGTGAACAAATCAACTGTGGGAGCAATTATCAGAAAATGGAAGACATACAAGACCACTGATAATCTCCCTCGACCTGGGGCTCCATGCAAGATCTCATCCCGTGGGATCAAAATGATCATAAGAACGGTGATCAAAAATCCCAGAACCACAAGGGGGGACCTGATGAAGGACCTGCAGAAAGCTGGGACCAAAGAAACAAAGGTTACCATCAGTAACACACTACGACGGCAGGGAATCAAATCCTGCTGAGTTGCATCCCAAGAACACCATACCTACTGTGAAGCATGGGGGTGGAAACGTCATGCTTTGGGGCTGTTTTTCTGCTAAGGGTACAGGACGACAGATCCGTGTTAAGGAAAGAATGAATGGGACCATGTATCGTGAGATTTTGAGCCAAAACGTCCTTCCATCAGTGAGAGCTTTGAAGATGAAACGTGGCTGGGTCTTCCAGCATGACAATGATCCCAAACACACCGCCCGGGCAACGAAGGAGTCGCTCCGTAAGGAGCATTTGAAAGTCCTGGAGTGGCCATGCCAGTCTCCAGACCTCAAACCCATTGAAAATCTGTGGAGGGAGTTAAAAGTCCGTGTTGCTCGGCGACAGCCCCAAAACATCACTGCTCTTGAGAAGATCTGCAAGGAGGAATGGGCCAAAATACCAGCAACTGTGTGTGCAAATCTGATAAAGACCTATAGTAATCGTTTGACCTCTGTTATTGCCAACAAAGGTTATATTACAAAGTATTGAGTAGAATTTTTGTTATTGACCAAATACTTATTTTCAACCATAATTTACAAATAAATTCTTTAAAAATCCTACAATGTTAATTCCTGGATTTTTTTCCCCACATTCTGTCTCTCACAGTTGAAGTGTACCTATGATGAAAATTGCAGACCACGTCATTATTTTGCCCCACTGTATATACTGTACGTATGAACAATCTCTATGACATTTCCCTCTAGTGTGGATAACGGAGGAACAGACTGAGGTCCTTTTTTAGTGTTTGAAAACAACATTAATTTTGTCTTGTCAGAATTTAGGACAAGTTTTAGCTGCTTAAGAGTGTGCCGAACCACTTCAAATGCTTTCTGCAGAGATTCAACAGCTTTGGCTGGAGTCATTCCAAAACTGTAAATAATTGTGTCATCTCCATAAAAATGTAAATTAGCATCTGACACATTTTGTCCCATTTCATTTATATACATGATGAATAGGAGGGGTCCTAATATTGAGCCCTGTGGCACCCCCTTTTGGACAGTCACAAAGTCAGAGCACTGACATTTTATGCACTGGGTCCTGTCATTCAAATAATTTGTGAACCAGGAGACTACGTGATCCGACAGTCCCAAACAAAGAAGCCTATGCTTTAAAACGTCATGGTCCACTTTGTCAAAAGCTTTTGACGGATCAATAAAAAGTGAAGCACAGTACTGTTTTTTATCAGGATTTATGACTTTTGTCGCTGCAGTGATGGTGCTGTGCTTTTTCCTGAAGCCTGATTGTAACTTGGAGAGAAGTTCATTTGAGTATAAAAACTCTTTTAGTTGGTCAGATACAAGAGATTCCATAGTTTTTGACAGGGCACACAAATGTGATATTGGTCTATAATTAGTTAAAACTGCTGGATCTCCGCCTTTTAACAGAGGCATAACAAAAGCTGATTTCCAAACTGATGGTATTTCTTTGTTTTTGATTGAGAGATTGAAAAGGGCTGTTAGAGGCTGGGCTACAAAATCAGCTGCCATTTTCAAAAAATAGGGTTCCATCAAATCTGGTCCAGGAGGTTTCCTGTGATCTAATGTTTTGAGAATTTTATGCACCTGCTGCACGTCAAACGGAACAAAGTTAAAAGGGTCTCCAGGAAACATTGGAGGGTCAGTGAGGGGTGTCACAGTGGCTGTTCCTGTACTGTTAAACAGAGAACCAGATGATGCAAAATGCTTATTAAAGCAATTTAAGATCTCACTTTTAGCATAGACTGGGGCAGAGTCTTTAAGGACAAATTTTGGAAGAGTCTGAGGACTTTTACTTACAGATAAAGACTTAATTACTTTCCAAAATTGTTGTGGATTATTGAGGTTCTCGGTTGTGATTGACAGGTAATATTCGGATTTAGCCCTTTTAATAAGAGAGGTGCATTTATTTCTCAGTTGTCTAAAGATGGACCAATCAAAGGCAGAATCAGTTTTTCTGGCCTTGGCCCATGCTACATTACGCTGATGAATAGTTTTTGACAACTCGACTACTCTGAATGTTCTCATAGGAGCATGTTTGTTTACAATTTTCTCAAAAGTTTCCTTAAAGAACGTCCAAGCTAGCTCAACCTCTGGCAATAAATCTATTTGTCCCCAATTAACCAAAGACAGGTCGTGGTGAAAGGCTTGTTCATTAAATTGTTTTAAGTTTCTTTTGTAAATAGTACAGTACGTGGTTTGCATTTGGGGATTTTAGTGCTCCTGCAAGTAGCAACAACACAGTGATCACTTAAGTCGTTGCAAAAGACACCCAAAGATGAGAATTTATGAGGAGCATTTGTTAGAATTAAGGTTGACTTACCCGGATTTTTGAGATTGGGCCTTGTGGGTAGGTTAACCAGCTGGCTAGGTTATAAGAAAGGCCATCTTCCACTTGTAAATCATTATGGAACACCAACTTGACAAGTAGAAAAAGGCTCAGGATGTAGCAGGCTCAGGCCTGTTTGCTGCAGCTCCACAGGGTGTAGCAGGCTCAGGCCTGTAAGCTGTAGCTCCACAGGGTGTAGCAGGCTCAGACCTGTAAACTGTAGCTCCACAGGGTGTAGCAGGCTCAGACCTGTAAGCTGTAGCTCCACAGGGTGTAGCAGGCTCAGACCTGTAAACTGTAGCTCCACAGGGTGTAGCAGGCTCAGACCTGTAAACTGTAGCTCCACAGGGTGTAGCAGGCTCAGAGGCTTAAAGGTATAATAGAGGATTCTGTTCTTCCGGGTGAATCATCTACCAGTCATGTCAAAGTCAAATACATCAGAGGGCCAAAAAAACAAAATTGCTGCGAGCCCAGGGCCGGACTGGTTCAATGTTTATTAACATCCAGAGGCAGCGCTGGTGCCACCTGCTGGCTCGATACAATATGCTCTAAAACTAATCCCCATACATAGATATCTGAGACATCTGAGAACATGAAAATAGTGAAAAACACGATTGATGTATTAATGCGTCAATGGTAGGCAACAATCAAATACCATCCCGTGGGCCATAAATAATTCATTCGCGGCCCTTGAGTTTGACACATGTGATCTAGACTATTGGTGCTCCTAATTGTCAATCATTCTGGTGATATGTGACGTAAGGCCGTTGTACATGCGCGTCCCTCATGTGCATGGATCACGGAGTGGAGAAAAAGTGGCCATGATGAAAGGTAAAAAGTTTAATGCACATTTTATTTAGGACATAAAAGTTAAATGTAATAACATTTGAAAATATTCCCCTCTCTTGTCATATCAGAGGTCTGTTTGGTGATAAAACAGACTTCTGATATGATAAATGACAAATGCTAACAAATTATTATTTGTAATATTATTTGTTATTATTAATAATAATTACAATTATAATATAATAATAATAATTATATTTTTATTTTGGACAACAAACAGCATATTTATTATCTATTTTCCCTGTTTTGACAACATTCTTTTAGAACCATTTTAAACACAGGAGCTTCTGTGTCATCCTTATCATCGATGTTGAAATTGTCTCAAATGTAGACTCGGGCGATTTTGTGCTTCTCGAGAATTAAAGAGAAAGATTGCTCTCTGTTTAAAGCTTGAAGGAATAAATGAAAAAACTACTCTGGGCATGCTTGTAGCTGCAAATTAGCACTGTCATGTTTAAAGCAGAGAAAAGTCAAAAAGCGGAATATGGGACTTTAAAAGTAGTCCATTATAATACAATTTTCTCAGGTCCTGTACACTGCACATGGAGTGCAAACACCTTTTCCTTATGCCGTCTTTCAACGCAGGTCTAACCTTTCTCCCATTCATGTTCACACGGGTCAAATCATCATTTGAATATGTGTTCAAAAACATGGGTTCAATTACTATTGAGTATCAATATCAAGGTAACATGTCTTCAGATTAGCAGGTTGCGGTCTGATACGTTTACAACATTTTTCACTTTTACAAGACAAAAATATCATTTTGTGAAAAACAGTTTTTTGCATCCACAGACACTGCCATTTCTTCCGACTCCTCGTCTCCAGATAACGTAGAAGACACTGGGTTGGACTCGCCCTCTCACCAGACGCTTGGACCCTCCCCTGAACCCGGCTGGGCAGCGTGGCCCCCTGCCCCCCACAGCAAGGACCAAATCCGAGGTCACTCCACCGACCCTTTCCTCTCCGCCTTCCGGGATCTATCTCCAGCAGGCAGCCCCCGCTTTCACGGCAACAGGGCGTGGTCTGCACCCTCCACCTGTCCCACCCACGTCCCTCCCGAGAGCGAACAAACCTTTGTGCACTTCCCCACCCCTGACATCCAGAGCGCCGTATGGAACTGCAAACATATCCCTCCAGAAAACCACTTTCTCGTGTTTGAAACTTCTGCCAATCAGGAGACCTTTTCGGACTCTTGGAAAAGACCACCTCCTCCTCGCTCCACAGCCAATCAAGAGACACAAGGAGATCCTTTTGCCGCCGTCAACAGTAAAATTCACTTCAGCAATCTGCCAACCTGCGCATCGTCAACAACATTGTCCCATCGCAAGAAGCAAGATCGCAGACGAGACAGCAGCGCATCGCCTCCTGTCACGCCAGAAGACCCGTTCGCCATCACTATGATCGGCAGCCCCACGCACCAATTGTCAACCGAACTAATCACGCCTTTAAGCAGCACGCCGAACAATAACCGACAAGGAGCAGCACATGCTTGCATTGCCGTGTCCACTTTGAAAAAAGAACACTGGAATTTGGCACGCAATCCGTTCAGCGACAACATCCCTGCAGCAGTGGTGGTTTCGGGCTCTAGAGCACAGGAAAATGGAGGAGGCGGGAGTGGACATAAGGAGCTGGGGGAACGGAGGAAGCACAGGACGCCAGACAGCGAACCGCGAAGGAACGCCCCTCCACTTACCAGGCACTCGGGGCCCCAAGAAGACCTCTGCTTCTCCACGGACCGGGACCAGGATTGTCTGGACATCAGTCAGCCCTGCAGCCTTGGCTCGCATAAAGGTAACCTAAAGTCCTACTGCATCTAAATATCCTTTATTGTTAAGTGCTCTTTAATAATCCTGAAATATATAACTTTCATTGCATTTCATGTTTTACAATGTTTAATAATTTGATAGGTTTAAAATGTTCACAAGAACGCACTAATTGCCATCTAGTGGCACATTTCATTCCGATATATATTTATTTCTATATGGTGTGTTGAATTTGAAGTTAAGCGGCCTATCTGAAAAAAATTGAGTTTTATACTTCCAATAAAACAAAACAAAATATAACAGATGTGAAAAAGACATTTATTTTTTCAAACAGTGACGATGCATGTGTGAGTATGTATAAGTATAAACCTAAACGCTGTCCTGACTCTGTAACTCCTCATCATCCCCTTTCGCTGTTGCCAACATATTATTATAAATATTATTTGATTTACCAAAGCTGTAATTGTAATCATTCAATCTTCCAAGTTTTGTCAAAGCCCTATAGAAGGCACCCTGTTAGGAATGTAGTTTGACCAGATGGATTCACAAAATCTCTCCTTCATGGCAAAATACCTACCCAAACGCAGAAAAAAACACAAACTGTCAAATAAAAACAAAACCGTTTAGGAAATGTCTTGCATGAACCTTTTCTGTTTTCTGTTGAAGGCTCCAGACACAAATACAGACAGGTAACGTCCGAGGGCGTGGCTGATGCTTCAGGCAGAACGGTCCGGGCCAAGAGGACACCAGGACGGCTCAGCGGTGCAGAGAAAGTGAGTCAGCACTATATCTATTGCTAATGTGTAACTTGTCACATCAGATGAAAGTTAAACATGAGTCCACATCAAATAGAAGTTTTATTGTCACAGCATAGTACAAGTACAATACGATTAACGGAATTATGTTTGAGGTGAGTTATGGAGCTGCTGCCACACCTCTCTTCTCCCAACTTGGAAAGTTACAGCGGAGGACCACGAGCAACACAGATACACAGACACATTACAATTGAAATGGTAGACATTTGCTTGTAGGAATTTTTGGATAGAGATGCCTGTGTGGTGACTTTCGCTACGGAAGCAGCGTGTGGCGTTCACTGAAGCTTTGACACAGTTTGCTTTGTGATCTGGGGGACCGCGGCTGTACCCGTCTGTCTCTGTGTGGTACGTCTCTGTGCGCGTACGTGTATGTACATTTGTCTGTTTTTGTGTGTTTGTACATGTGTCTGTCTGTGTGTGCGTGTGTCTGCCTCTGTTTGTGTGCTTGTGCGTTTGTGTGAGTGTGTGCATCTGTCTATGAGTGCGTGATGTGCAGCAGTTCTGTAACTGCTGCACATCAGCAGTTGTGGAAGTGTGGGTGATGGTTGAGTGAGTTGGAGGTAGGTTATGAAGAGGTTCCATGCTTCAGTAAAGGCTGGTACAGTGTTGTGTTTGTGAGCTGTTGTCCTGATTATTGAGATGTGTTCTTTAAGGAGGTTGGTCCAGTGAGAGATGTGGCATGATTTTTTTGATTTCCAGTTTTGAAAGATTATTTTCTTGCCGATTGTTAAGGAGACGAGTAATGGGTTTTTAAACTCGAGTGGGAGGGCTATCTCTGTTGTGCTTTCTAGGAGGCAGAGTGATGGGTCCATTGGAATTCTGCAGCCCAAAATCATGGAAAGCGTTTTGGTTAATGTTGTCCAGAGGGAGTGAAGTGGTTTGCAAGCCCAAGTGGCGTGGAAGTAACTGTCTGTAGTGTTCTGAGTGCATTGTGTGCAGTTGTCTGTGTCTGCTAGTCCCCTTTTGAACATTTTTCTTTGGGTGATGTGAAATCTATGGATAGTTTTGTATTGAATTAATTGTAGGTTGGAGTTCCTGGACATAGAGAAGATATTGTTATTGAAATGTATACAGAAGTCGGAGCCGGGAGAGATTCCCAAGTCATTTTCCCATTTTGTGGATGGGAGTGAGATCGTGGTGTCTTGTATAGATATAAGTTTATAAAGTTTGGAGGTTATTTTTTTAGAGTTTGTAATTTTAAAGATCTCTGTACTTAGTTTGGATGGTTCCAATGAACTATTTGTTACATTAATTTTTGATTGTATTACATGTTTGAGTTGTTGTTAGTGGAGGAACTGTTCTCTCCCAACCCCGAACTTCTGGATTAAGATGTCAAATGGGATGAATTGGTTGCTGTCAAATAGGTGATGGAGATGTGTGATTCCTTTTTGTTGCCATGACGGAAAGTGAATAGGGGTGTTGTGAAGTTGGAAGTCTAGATTGTGCCAAATTGGGGTGTGCTTACATGGTGGTAGCGGTGTTTTTGTGATCTTGTGAGTTTTCCACCAGGCTGTCAGGGTTGAGGAGATTGTATCATGTTTACTATATTTATTTTGTGTTGATTGAGGTAAAAAAAAGGGAGGTCCGTGATTGAAGTGGGTTTACATTGATTTTTTTCTAATTCTAACCATGGGGTGCTGTGAATATGTTTTTGAGTCCATTTGAATAAGTACTGTAACTGATTGGCTAGAAAATATTTTTGAAAATTGGGTGCTTCAAGGCCGCCTTGTCATTTTGGATGTTGAAATGTTGAGAGTGAGATTCTGGGTTTCTTGTTTTTCCAATAGAATTTAGTTATTTTTGAGTTGAGCGTTTGGAACCATTTGTCAGTGGGGTGATAGGAAGAACTGAGAAATTTTCATTTTGATAGTTGCAATTCGTCCTATGAGAGTGAGTGGAAGTTTTGTCCAGCGTTTGAGATCGTCTTCAGTTTTTTTTAATAAGGGGGTGTAGTTAAGGTTAAAAAGCTCTGACAGCCTGGGGGAGATATTGATGCCCAAGTACTTTTTGTTGGCAGTGTGAAAAGGAAGGGGTGAGTTTTGGGCTGCAGAATTCCAGTCCGTTCCAGATAATGGTGGAATAGTTGAGATTTTGGAGATCTGGTGTTCTTGGTGTTCTGAGTTTAGGTCCTGAATTCCTTTAATCTGGTTATTTTGTCTTATTGCTGCTGGGAGTGGTTCAATGAAAATGGCGAATAGAGATGGTGAGAGTGGGCATCCTTGTCTGGTTCCTTGGTGGAGTGTGAAACTAGGTGAGGTGATCCCATTTGTGGTGATAGTGGCTTAAGGGGTTGTGTAGAGTATATGTATCCAATGTATGAACGACTCCCCAAATCCAAATTTACGTAGGTTAGCGAGTAGAAATGTCCAATTTACTTTATCAAATGATTTTTCTGCATCTAGTGATATAATTATGGTTTTGATTTTTTGTTGTTGTGATATATTGATTAGGTTAAAGAGTCTACGGATGTTATCTGAGACATGTCTATTTTTTATGAAGCCTGTCTGGTCGGGGTGGATTAATAATTGACTGTCTCTATTCTCGTTGCTAGTGTTTTTGTGATGATTTTTAAGTTGCTATTGATGAGTGAGAGGGGGCGGTTGCTGGAGGGATGAGTTGGATCTTTATTGGAGTGACATAACGGCAGTATTCATACAGTATGTGTAAGTATTTTGAAGGTGTTTTTAATTTCTTGTGTGACACAGTGGAATAATGGAGATAGAATGTTCCCAGAAATGTTTGTAGTATTCTGCCGGTAGTCCATCTGGTCCAGGTGATTTATTGTTGGGCATGTTATTCAGGGATCTTTTTAGTTCTTCTATGGTGAGGGGTGCATCTAGGATATTTGCTTTATCTGATGAAAGTGTTGGCATGTCAAGGTTATTTAGAAAGGTATTTATATCTGATTGGTCAGGATTATGCTCTGGTGAATAAAGGTTACTGTAAAATTTTTGAAATACGTTGTTTATGTCTTTTGGATTTTGGGTGATTGTGCCAGCAGAGTTACGGATGAGTGGGATTATATTATATTGCTTTCTCTTTGTTGTAGTACATTGGCTAGGTATTTAACTGATTTATTGCTATAATGAAAGTTATCATATTTGGGTTGCTGAATAATGAATTGTGTTTTTTTGTATATGATGGTTTCCATTTGAATTTCTAAATGGGTTAATTAATTTTGTATTTGCTCATTGTGGTGATTGGAAAGTAGCATTGTTAATTGTTTAATCTTTTGTTCAATTATATTTTCTAATTGCTGTTTTTTCTTGTATGCTGAATATGATATGATTTTTACATGTCATTACTGCTTTGCCTGTTTCCCAAAGTGTTGATGGTGAGATTCCTGGAGAGTCGTTCATCTCCAGGAAGGATGCCCACTCTCTCTTAATCATCAAACTGAAGTGTGTGTCTTCTAGGAGTGAAGTATTGAACAGAATCATTTTTATTGCCACGTAAGTAACAGGAGGTCACAAACAAAATAGCGTTGGCTCGGTGCAACAGTCAGAGAGAGAGAATAAAAAATAAAGAATAAAAAAACATTTCTAAGAAATAAATTTAAAAGTAAAACTAAAATAGAGTTACAATTACTATATACAATATAGAGTGCACATGGTGCACACAATGTAAGGTGACAGCAGTACAGTGAGGTAAAGTGACGTATGATGGGCAGTAAAGTGACATTATAAAGCGCCATCTTGTGGTAGGTTTAATGTATGTTTGAATGTTTACCATTAAGAAGATGGGGGCATGGTCGCTGATTATAATTGGATAGATTGTGTTGTTGCTGATATGTTGGTTGAGAGAGTTGCTGGTGAGGAAGAAGTCAATTCTGGAATTAAGAATGATGAACCGAGGAGTAATGTGTGTATTCTCGTAGGGATGGATTCCTCACCCTGCAACTATTGGCAAGTCCATAATCTTCCATGTGTTGTTTAATTGTATCAGAGGAGTGCCAGTTTCTTGAGTTGCCTTCGGAGTTGAGTTGGTCATTTTTTCTGCTTTCTTTTAAGATAGGGTATAATATTTTTTGTTGTTCATTGATTTCACGGGGGTATTTCTCGTTTAGTCTGTAGTTTGTTCCTTTGAGTTTTAACTAGTTCTTTCGGTTTAAAGTGTTCAGATTTGGCAATGATGGGTCGTGGTCCTTTATCCGATTGTCTGCCGAAGCGGTGTGCTCTGTGGAAGCTAATGGAGCTATTTTTAGTTTTGTTGTCATAAACTCTTTGATGAGTGTTTCGGGTTTGTCACTTGTGTTTTCGGGGATTCCAGGGAAGATAAGGGAGTCCCGCATAGTTCGAGATTGCAAGTCCAAAATAGTTTCTTTCATTATTTGGTTTTCTTTGGTGATAGTGTGCATTTGTTCGGTTATTGCTTTTACTGATGATTTCAGTTCCTGGTTTGATTGGTTGAGAGAAATTATTTGGTTATGTGCGAATTCCAGGCTATTGCGTAGATCCTTCATTTTGTCGTGCAGTGTTACGAGTAAGTCCAGTCTTTTGTTAATGCTTGCGAGTACACTGACCTCGATTTTGGTGGTTTCCAAGTCATCTGTGTCGGTTGACGAGTCTGCCTTTTTCCTTTTGCTTGGGTTTGCTGGGTCCGGTTCCATGGTGTATTGAAGATAATAATAGTAATCGATGAAGTCCTCGAGGTCCGTTACGCTCTCCACCGTACCTGTATTCCGTTTACTTTGGCTGTACCGTTAAGTTTTATTGATGTTAGATCCGAGAAGTGGGAAGTGGTTAGGGTTACCTCCTCTGTAACCAGCGGCAGACTGTGCCAAACACTGCTCCTGGCCTCTCCCATTGTGCAAATTATTTTGGTAGAAATTACATTACATTATTATACTCATTATACTACCCATTTAACCCACCAGGAAATAGTGTCCTGGTTCGATCCGCGCGCACCAGATGCGCCAGATGAGTGCAACAGACCAGTAAATGTGTGTGTCTAACCCGCACAAGTGTGCACTAGTAACTGAGCGGAGAGACGGACAAGAGAATGGATGATGCGTGTGGAGTATGAATGGAAGGGGGGGGGGAAGGGTGCGCAAGTGTGGAATGTCGTTTGTGTGTGCATGCCAGTGTGTGTGTGTGTGCGGAACCTCTCCTTCACACATCGAGGATGAATAAGTCTCTCACTGAAGCTGCTCTCCAGAGCAGACAGTGTCCTGTAGGGGGTGACAGTCATGGTACAGCATAGATATTAGTTTGTCCAGGACCCTCCTGTCCCCGACCTGCTGCACTGTGTCCAGGGAACAGCCCAGGAGGAAGAAGAATACTGAGTTGCATCCCAAGAACACCATACCTACTGTGAAGCGTGGGGGTGGAAACGTCATGCTTTGGGGCTGTTTTTCTGCTAAGGGGACAGGACGACTGATCCGTGTTAAGGAAAGAATGAATGGGACCATGTAAAATTTTGAGCCAAAACCTCCTTCCATCAGTGAGAGCTTTGAAGATGTAATGTGGCTGGGTCTTCCAGCATGACAATGATCCCAAACACACCGCCCGGGCAACGAAGGAGTGGCTCCGTAAGAAGCATTTGAAAGTCCTGGAGTGGCCTAGCAAGTCTCCAGACCTCAACCCCATTGAAAATCTGTGGAGGGAGTTGAAAGTCCGTGTTGCTCGGCGACAGCCCCGAAACGTCTCTGCTTTTTAGAAGATCTGCATGGAGGAATGGGCCAAAATACCAGCTACTGTGTGTGCAAACCTGATAAAGACCTATAGTAATAATTTGACCTCTGTTATTGCCAACAAAGGTTATATTACAAAGTATTGAGTTGAACATTTGTTATTGACCAAATACTTATTTTCCACCATAATTTACAAATAAATTCTTTAAAAATCTTACAATGTGAATTCCTGGATTTTTTTTTTCACATTCTGTCTCTCACAGTTGAAGTGTACCTATGCTGAAAATTACAGATCTCTGTCATTATTTTAAGTGGGAGAAATTGCACAATCGGTGTCTCCATCCTTGTTCATGAATTCACCACGGTTAAGGATTTACTGACAAATAGAATGTATGTAATGTAAATAGAAGTAAGAGTATATGGTAGGAAATCTTAATTTTTGCTTTTGAACCCGTTTTCTGCACGTGTACAGACAAATGAATGAAACAAAGTCAAAGTGATACAATCACACATTTATTAAAAACCAAAGTTAAGTGCAAAACCAACTAAATACATTTCAGCGAGAGCTTTGCACCAATGGGTTACATAACCAATTATTTTCATGATTACTACAAACAAAAGTCACAAACAAAGAGCTGGGCGATCTCCCTGAAAACCTTTTTGTTCTGTGTTGTGCCGTCGAGCTCACGTCGGAACCACGGCCGAGGCGGTACTAAAAAAGTACCCTAATCCCAAGTGGAAATGCAAAAAAAACGCTGTGTCGTGCCGTGGCCTATAGAAAAGCACCAAAAGTCACCTCCATCATGCACAACACCTTCCACCCACTGCACAGGACTGTAGAGGAGCTGAGAAGCTCTTTCAGTGGAAGACTGAGGCCCCCTCAGTGCAAGAAGGAGCGCTACCGCAGGGCCTTTATTCCCACCGCTGTCAGACTGTACAATAAGTCACTAATGCACTAGGACTGAAAAAAACAGCACTGCTATGCCACTATTTCTTATTGTACATAATTATATCCTGCACTGACTCTTATTTTTACCCTTTAACATGTTTGCACACTTCTGTCTTTTGCGCAACCTGAGTGATTCTATCTTTGCCAAATGTGACATGTACATTTCTCCAGTGTGAGATCAATAAAGTTTATCTTATCTTATCGTTAAAATAGTGTCTACCTTTTGATTCTGTTAACAATGTCCCATTAGCATTTTCATCATTTGTGGGGCATTCTTGGGGACCATTTGCAGCAGCAGGGTCGAGTCGGCTCAGCCCTTCACTTCATAGATATAGAACGCCTTTTCTTTCTCTGTTGCAGTCTCGGTCTCTGTGCTCGTCTCCTCTCCCGGAGCCCAGTGCCTCCCTCACCTCCTCCTCTTCCTCCAGCCCAAATGAGTGGCCCCTGCTCAGAGAGGAAGAGTGGGGACCAGCAAACCCAGCCCACAGTCCTGGACCAGTGTCACCGCTGCCCCAACAGCACCACAACCAGCCCCAAAGGCGACGTAAGTGTGTTTGTAAGTGTGACGGATCCAAAATTGCCCATGGAAATATAATAAATAAATAAATTGTAGCCGCAAGCGGCGTCAAACGGCCCTCGCCGTACCGCGCAAACGAGGTGGCGACACCGTGCCATGATTTGCTCCCGTAGCCATAGAACAATGTACATGAAAATGTAATAAATATGATCAGTTGGTTTGGCTCCCAATGTAAAACTTTGGCTCACTCTGCAGGGGGCACTAAAGAGCCAATTTAATATTTCACACCTTCAGGTGACCTAGGCCCAAGATTTGAGCAACCAAGTCAAGTGTAGTACTTTGTGTGTAAACAGGAGCACATGTATAATCTGTGAGTGTGTCCATATATATACAGCCTCCATTGGATGACCATGTGACAAATCAAAATTCTATGAACAACTATTGATGGTACATGTGTTGAGATGATGTGGAGCGATTTCAACCCAAATCGATGAAATGGCTGAGGCTGGTTTGATGTTTTTGTGAGGTGTACATTTGCGATAGACATAGAATGGGGAGTAATTGTCGTTGCCATGGCAACAGGGTAAAAAACAATCTTGGGTCTCATTGGGTTTTTGAATCAAGAGAGGAAAACAGAATTATGTGCAAAATTTCAAACATTTTGAAAAAAGATAAATGTGATTGTCCCCATGTAAAACTTTAACATAGTCTGTAGGGGGTGCTAATAAGCCAATTTCAATTATTTTACTTTCAAATGGAGTGGAAGAATGGATTCAAATTTGATGCAAATTGGACTTTGTATGTGCAAACCAGTGACATAGGCACATTAGGGCTAGGGTGGTCCCAGGCCCGCCCACTTTGATTGGCCCAGGACCTGGCCCTCCCTGAGAAGGCTTGCAGGATTTTTCTCACCATTTTTTATGATTGATACTTTTACTCACTCTTCAAAAGAATGGTTAACATTGACATTCAAACCAATGCCTTGGTAAAATACGGCGTGTGAATATATAATAAGATATTCACACGCCGTGCCTCCTCCTCGCCTCCACAGCAGCAGCAGCATGTGACCCTCATCTCTCTGCTGTGATTGGCTGTCTTCCTCCTGCACTTAAAATAGCGAGGCGCCAAAGTCTACGAGTAGCTACTGTTTCCTTTCAGTAAAGTCCGCCTGGGACATGAATCTATTAAAATAACTGTGAGTGCTCTATGAAAAGTGATTAGTGAAGTCGAGTAACCAGTGTCAAACGCGTTTTCCCTGAGCCTCGTAAAATGTGAGTAATCAGAGAAAATTATTATGGATCTATCTCCATTCAATACATTTACATAAGTTCTACTCTGTCATTCCACTGGGAAACTCAGGCTGCACCATGGATCTATAAGGGCTGCACACAGACAGAGACAGAACAGACTCCATTTGAGAAACAGGAGGTTTAAAGGCTTAGTGCTCCTCCACTCTGTGTGGCAGCCAGACTCTTGTCTTCTATATTGAATTTTGTTTGCTTCTGCAATGTCACTGATGGGCTGTTCCCTCATGCGTGCGTGTGCGCAATCGCGCTGTTCTTTTGGGGTCTTATATTACATCCATGGTCTAAGCGCACAGAAAACTCTGTCCTGCACAAAATAAAAACAGCGTACACAAATGACGCAGCCGCGTATTTCTACAGTGCATGGACCGCGGTGGATTTGTGCGGTCAGGCCTCATTCAAAGTCAGAGCCGAAAGCTCTCTTTCTTTGACAATGCGGTTAATATATACAGTCTATGGGTTCACAGTCCGCGGGTACGGGAGAAGTGCCCAACGCAGAAGTTTGAAGCTGCGTTTGATCCAGAACAGGGCTAGGACCAACCTCACCCTGCACTCCGTGTACCGAAAATGCGGACTCGGTCTGGCCGCGGACTCGCGAGCAGTGTCTCACGAGCAGTGTCTCACGAGCGCTATACCAGCTGTGTGTGTGTGCTTGGAGCTACACACACATGCACACACATGCAGGGACACTTGAGTCTGAGGAACAGGAGTCCTGCTTAAGTGTCTTTTTGTCCAAAGTGCCTCCATCATTTCACTGTGGTTTTATTGTTAGTGATTATCTTTTCAATGATGTTAAGATTCAGTTCAGCTCAAAGGCCTGGAGTAAAGTTGGTTTTGTGGCAATTTGATTAAGATAATAAATGTATGTGATTTGTTTTATAATGCCATATATATAATTTATGACTAAATATAATAATGTATACCATTTATTAAGACTCTAAAGGTTAAATCCTCTATTTCCAAATATATTCCTACTTTAATTCACCATTGTTTATACTTTAGCTAATTAGCGCCTATCCACTACAGTCTATGCCAGGGGTGTCAAACTCATTTTTGTCCGGGGGCCGAATAGAACCTAATATGATCTCAAGTGGGCCGGACAAGAAGATGCTCTACAAAAATACCCAAAAACGGTACAAAGTCAAACTTTGTGTGCACATAAACACATTTATATAAAAGTTCCTTTGAAACGCTGTCCTTTAATACTCGCTCTTTAACGGTAAATTTGTTCCAAACTTAAATGTAACAATGAGTTTTTCATAGTGCAAATAATGTAATGTATTTACAATATTACATTGTAAATGGCATTTCACAACATTTATATTAATAAATCCATGGTTATCTTATTATCACATTAACCATCTTCAGTGGGGTAAGGTCCATGGTTATGTTATTATCACATTAACCATCTTCAGTGTGGTAAGGTCCATGGTTATGTTATTATCACATTAACCATCTTCAGTGTGGTAAGGTCCATGGTTATGTTATTATCACATTAACCATCTTCAGTGTGGTAAGGTCCATGGTTATGTTATTATCACAATAACCATCTTCAGTGTGGTAAGGTCCATGGTTATTTTATTATCACATTAACCATCTTCAGTGTGGTAAGGTCCATGGTTATGTAATTATCACATTAACCATCTTCAGTGTGGTAAGGTCCATGGTTTTGTCCTTAACACATTAACCATCTTCAGTGTGGTAAGGTCCATGGTTATGTTATCAGAGAGGAAGCATCAAACTGAATTCAGTTGAAATGAACAAAACAACTTCAATAACGGGATGTAATCTGAACGACCGTAGCAGTGTCTCTGTGTAAAATACAGTCAAATGCCCAAATATCATCACCTCCATTTGCATCTTTGTAGGGATGTACCAAATCCGGGTTTTTGGGGTTCGGCCGAATATCGAATCCACTGGTTAAGATTCTGCCGAACCCGAATACCGAATCCTGTTCCATCCTCAGTCCATTATTGTTTCATACGCAAATGTTTTAACAGCGGCGAACTGGCTGTGTTGTGTACTGTTTAGGGTCCTAAACACCACGAGAAAAATTGGCATTGCAAATTAAACATGTAGCTCGACCAGAATCTACTATTATAACATTTATAATAATCTCGTTTATCATTAAACACAAATACATTCAGTTCACAGCAGTGTACTTCAGTGATAAAGTACATATATTACTGTGCATGTCATGTAAAAATAAGAGCTAAAGCACCATACATGCATAAATAGCTTCCACTGGTTCAGGTCAAAACATTACATATATGGACATTTGAGAAATATGCCAAACTCGTAGAGAAAAGTTGAGAGAAGCTAATGCTAAGAGGCTAGTTGCCTAAACATGGACTTACCAACTCTGCTTCTACAGTCATACGCAGCTCAGATGACAAGTACCTGGAACTGGTAATCAGCTCCATAAAGTTGGTGAATAGGAAGTTAGTTTATGATCCATCAGAACTGCATTACAGGTGAAAACAAGAATCGTAACATCCCCTCTCACCAGCATATGACTAGAGCTAATTGGACCGCGGGGATCACATGACCAGGAAGAGACCTCAGCGCACCCAAAGAAGAACAGAGAGCAAGAGGATATAAACCTCCGCTATAGTGCATGTTTATTTACACTTCCGAACGAATCTGATTTCCGTGACGAATCCAACAGCCACAGCGCGCATAGTGTAAGTGCAGGGTTCGGGTTCGGTGGGGAAAAATTCTAAGGTTCGGCCAGAAACCGAACCCCGTCAAAAAAGCCAATATTCGGTCAATATGCTATGTTTTTAGCACTCAAACTAAGGTAGCTTCCCTTTACAGTAGCAGCACTAACCTCTCGCTCTTGGCACAAACAGACTGCTGTTTCTTCAGGGCCATGTTTATCTTCTGTCTTCTCAATTCTCCGCTCAAGGTGCCGTTTTTTTTTGCAGAGTCTCGTAGTTTAAGATGATATTCCTTCAGCACCGCTCTGGTGGAGCCACTACAGACGCACTGGGCTCACTGCTGAGCGCGAGGCAGATTTGTGTTTATTTTTATTATTATTATCATTTTACATAAATGAGCCGCGGGCCGGATTCCGCATGAATGACACCCCTGGTCTATGCTGTTCACTAAAATCTATCGAACCGAGGAGGCACGTCTGCTAGGTATTATTGGATATCATATTCTTGGCTTGCAGTCAGGTGACGCATAAACTTCCGGTTGACGAAGTGGTGTCAGGCCAGCAAGAGTTGCTGCTGATATGTGGAGAAAATGCGACACTTTTTGCGATGTTTTTGCTTTTTCGGATATTTCATGACACTTTGAAGCTACTGTGGTTAACGTTCTAACTCATCATTCTAACTATGCACAAGACAGAATTTTTATACTACATGTTTTGGTAATATCAAGGTTGAAGCTACTGGCACGGCGGCAAATGCTATTAAGATAATAATGCTAATAAGTCTCCATTCCTCCACTGTAAGTTACTTACATTCTGTAACGTCTTTGTTTATGCCTCTACTATCGACAATAAAACATGTCTTCTGTCTGAATTAAAGACTCGATCCTAGACTGTCATTTTCTTCACTTTAGATTTTAATCCACGAGCTAGTGTTACAATCAAGCTTTTGCACTGCTAAGCAAATGAAGGTTTGGAAAAACATGGATGCTGCGACTTTTTTGTCTGTCTGTGGATTAAGGAACTCAGAGTGAGGTTCTGAAGGACAAATCCTGCATCGTAATGAGCCGTGTAAGTAACGATTGGTGAATGAACTTGTCATTCTCAACAAAACAATGCGTCTGTGGCTGTGTTCTTTTCAGGTCAAACATTCACTGTGTTTATCTAAAACGCCAACTCATACCTGAAAGTTCATTAAATAAAGATGGGGATGTAATAACTTCGCATTGTGACTGCATGGCTGGGTAAATAATCCTTCGAGGTAAAAGCGTTTGCTAGTGGAATGTTAGCGAGCCACTTTTCCTGCGTCTTTTTGTAAAGTCCTTAGTGCGAGGCTCTTTATTAATCTAAGTAGTATCCATCAAAGGTTTTGCGATTCGATCGTTAGAAAACTTAAAACAACACGTGAAAAAGGCATATTCAGACTCGCTGCTCTAGTGAACAACTAGCTCGGCTGACCACCACTTTGTGATACGCATACGTAATGAGGTGGACGTGAAGTAAATTGCAAGCAAGCAATTGATTTTTCCTCTAGCAAAAGTTGGCCCGCCCACTTTTCTACAGGCAAAATTTCAAAATGTCTGCCTACGTCCCTGGTGCAAACGGGAGCAAATTGGCTCTTGTCAGAAATGGGGAAAAAAGTCACATTTCACCACTCCGCTGCTCGAAGAACGTTTCTATGAAATCAAAATTATGGTCCACGTGTTTAGACGATGTGGAACGACTTTGAAGCAAATCGGTGAAACAGCCAAGGAGGAGTCGCTTTCCAACCGACATGTGTGAAAATGATCAATTTTAAATTTTCCATTTTCCAATAAAATTTATGGGCTTCTTGTTGTTCAGGGAGCGTGGCAATAATAACTTTTTTTCATGTCTTGACTTGAGGAACATTGAAATTCATGGCTCTACGGTTCTGAAGTTTGGGCAAAATTTGGCAAGTTTTCATGGATGTTCAGGGGGTCAAATTAAGGCTATTTTTGAAAGTCTCAGATCAAAAACCATATAGGTTTTACTGGCACCTGATACATCCCTTTAAAGTGTTTGAGTTTAAGCAAGCAACTGTCACGTTTTGGTGAGTGATGGGCACTGACGTGTCTGTCACGCACCACAACCCCTTGCATTCACCATTGTGAAAGCAATAGGCCCATACCCCAGTTGGGGCTCGGACCTAATAATAAAAATGCATTGTTTTATATGCATGGCGCCGTAAAGATGGCGCCGTGGCAAGAGCTCTGGTGTGTGTCGTCTGGTGCACACTGGGGTAGTCTTGCACAGTTTTTCCAATGTGGTTTTACTGCAAATGGCAAATAAATGAATCTCAATCTGACTTTTTTGGACACTCAAAGACGCTTCAGGCCCAAGCCCCAACTGGGGTAATTAGGCCCCCATATACATTTGGACAGACCAGTGGAGGCGGGTCCCGGCTCATAAGTGGCCAAAATGATGTGCGCTGACATGCTTGCAAAACCCCCCCGGGCCGATGGGGGTGGACCCGGAATAAGAATTAGCCAATGCAATACAGTGGGGAAAAAAAGTATTTAGTCAGCCACCGATTGTGCAAGTTCTCCCACTTAAAATAATGACAGAGGTCTGTAATTTCCATCATAGGTACACTTCAACTGTGAGAGACAGAATGTGAAAAAAAAAAATAGGAATTCATTGTAGGATTTTTAAAGAATTTATTTGTAAATTATGGTGGAAAATAAGTATTTGGTCACTTCAAACAAGGAAGATCTCTGGCTCTCACAGACCTGTAACTTCTTTAAGAAGCTCTTCTGACCTCCACTCGTTACCTGTATCGTAATGATCTGTATCTTTTATACAGATAACCTGTTTGAACTCGTTTTCTGTATAAAAGACACCTGTCCACAGCCTCAAACAGTCAGACTCCAAACTCCACTATGGCCAAGACCAAAGAGCTGTCGAAGGACACCAGGAAAAGAATTGTAGACCTGTACCAGACTGGGAAGAGTGAATCTACAATAGGCAAGCAGCTTGGTGTGAACAAATCAACTGTGGCAGCAATTATGAGAAAATGGAAGACATACAAGACCACTGATAATCTCCCTCAATCGCAAGATCTCACCCCGTGGGGTCAAAATGATCATGAGAACAACAATCCCAGAACCACACGGGGGGACCTGGTTAATGACCTACGAGAGCTGGGACCAAAGTAACAAAGGTTACCATCAGTAACACACTACGACGACAGATAATAAAATCCTGCAGTGCCAGACGTGTCCCCCTGCTGAAGCCAGTACATGTCCAGGCCCGTCTGAAGTTTGCCAGAGAGCACATGGATGATACAGCAGAGGATAGAGGAGAATGTCATGTGGTCAGATGAAACCAAAGTAGAACTGTTTGCTATAAACTCAACTTGTCGTGTTTGGAGGAAGAAGAATACTGAGTTGCATCCCAAGAACACCATACCTACTGTGAAGCATGGGGGTGGAAACGTCATGCTTTGGGGCTGTTTTTCTGCTAAGGGTACAGGACGACCGTGTAAAGGAAAGAATGAATGGGACCATGTATCGTAAGATTTTGAGCCAAAACCTCCTTCCATCAGTGAGAGCTTTGAAGATGAAACGTGGCTGGGTCTTCCAGCATGACAATGATCCGAGTGGCTCCGTAAGAAGCATTTGAAAGTCCTGGAGTGGCCTAGCCAGTCTCCAGACCTCAACCCCATTGAAAATCTGCGGAGGGAGTTGAAAGTCTATGTTGCTCGGCGACAGCCCCAAAACATCACTGCTCTCGAGAAGATCTGCATGGAGGAATGGGCCAAAATACCACTTACTGTGTGTGCAAACCTGGTAAAGACCTATAGTAATGGTTTGACCTCTGTTATTGCCAACAAAGGTTATATTACAAAGAATTGAGTTGAATTTTTGTTATTGACCAAATACTTATTTTCCACCACAATTTACAAATAAATTCTTTAAAAATCCTACAATGTGAATTCCTGGATTTTTTTTTTTTTCACATTTTGTTTCTCACAGTTGAAATGTACCTACAGACTTCTGTCATTATTTTAAGTGGGAGAACTTGCACAATCGGTGGCTGACTAAATACTTTTTTGCCCCACTGTATTGCTGCATTGGCAGACCTTTCGAAAACGTCTTTACAGGATGGTCCAAAAGTTGGCTCTTGGCCCAAAGCTCCGTTCCATGTGTGTAAATGCTGAGGGGAGTGAATTTTTTTGGACGACTCTAGTTTACTTGCTGTGATGTTTTTAAGTCTCTCGTTCAAATGAATGGAGCTTGCACCGGCTGACCCATGCGCAGATGCGTTTTTTCACAATTTTCTTGTGGGCGGGACCACTGTCAGCCATTTTGGATAGCTCCAGTAGAGCACTATTTTTGGCCCATTAGTTAGAACAGCGGAGATAGGCGTGACTACATCCTTTGATTTTTACAGTCTGTGGGACAGACTCACAGATTATACATGTGCTTCTGTTTACACATACAAAGTCTGATTTGTACTAACTAGACTTGGTTGTTTAACTATTGGCCTAGGTCACCTAAAGGTGTGAAATATTAAATTGGCTCTTTAGCGCCCCCTATGGACTGAGCCAAATTTTCACACGGGGAGCCAAAGCAACTGATCATATTCATTACAATTTTACACACATTTTTCTATGACTACGGACGCAAAGGCGGTGTAACGACGGTTTGCACTACCTTTACGAGATGCACTGCCTCAGCTGTTTATGATGTAATGCAAACCTGCGCATGCGGGTTGATAATGGAGATAATAAATTTAATTTAATGCATGTATCGTACTGTATTCAATATGATTAACAATAGTGTGTTCAAAGAAAATATTTAATTAGATAGAGTTTTTCCCCATTTTCCATTATATACCCGACAGACCAGTTGTAAGCTGTAGAGTTGCCACAGGACGCGTCATCAGCCTACGTCAGCAGCTGCGGACTGCTATATCATAACATTAGCATTGTGGTTTCACAGGCGCAGTTGACTGCTTTAACTAAACTTTACATGAAACTTTGACTCTTAAAACCCACATGTGACAAAACGGAGCCATCAACACCTCAAATTGCATTAAAAGTGACCTTTGTGTCTTAATTTGTTTGTATTTTAACTTTTAAAGCAATTCATGGTCCGCCATCTTGGTTTGCTTCGGCTGCCATGAGACGCGCATGCGCAGGTTTGCATTACATCATAAACAATTGAGGCAGTGCATCTCGTCAAGGCAGTGCAAACCGTCGTTACAGCGGCACCACCTCCTTTGCGCAGTGCGGCTAGGGCCGTTCGACGCCGCTTGCAGCTTTAATTATTCTTTCACTCCATACACTGTGGTGATAAACTACTACTGTAGCCACAGCTGCTCTGGAGCACACTGAAGCGAGGCAACCAGTGTGCCATCGGCCCCTCCGACCACCACCAACCATTCACTCACAAACCATACTCATTCTAGGCAATGTGGGTGAAGTGTCTTGCCTAAGGACACAACGGCAGTTTGGCACTTTAAAGCCGCAGCCGCCCCACTGTGGCACCTGGTGTTCCCAGAGGTTAAGTGTCTTGCCAAGGACACAACAACAGCAGACATCACAGAGTCGGTGGAGAAAGTCTTGTGGTGGGTTCAAACCCACAACCTTCAGGCCAATGCTCTACCAAATGAGCCACTGTCGCCCCAATTCAATTGTCACAGTAAAGCATCTGGTATGTGGACTATGCGTTTTTTGTGTGTGTGTTTGCAGTGCACTTGTCCCGTGGGCCAAGTCCCATCTCGCTCAGCTCACAGGAGGCATGGCCTGTCGCCGCAGCCTTCACGGAGTACATCAACGCCTATTTCAAAGGAGGACAAAGCAATCGGTTTGTTCTTTCACATTGTATACCCATCAACCACTCCATGATGTAAATCAATACCCCACCTACATGTCACGGGGGCGGAGGGCCCTGTAAAACTTTCCACTGTCCAACAGGTAGCACTCCATTAAAGCTGTACCAACTCACTTTGTGACATTTTCATTCGCTCTTTCTGCTCCCTCTCCCCGCACTCACGAAGCTGTCGCCCCCACTACAGCCTGTGCTCATGTGCTAATTGTTTATGGAGCTCACGTCTCACAATATGGATCGCACATTTGAACGTGGAAGGGGTGACCATAGAATGATAGAATCGGGAAGCGCGGAGGAACGAGATGGCTATTTTGCTGTGTAAGTAACTGGTACCGGACACGGCAAGTTTCAGGTTAGCCTCCGCCGCTTGTTTACCTCAGCTGTCTGTGTCAACAAGAGACCTCTAGCTTTTCTCAAGAAAGTGGGGGTCAGTGGTCCGCTGTGATTGGTCACAATCTGGTCCCGAAACTAATTCTCTTCCTTGTTGCACGAAAACTCGATCTAAAATAAAATGACACGCCAGCACAAACCTGCGCTACTTATTCTTCAAAAGGACGTATATCCCAATGCATTACATGGATATGGATTTAATTTTTGTAATGAATACAAAAATAAAGTGAGGTAATGCAGCTTTAATGAACATGCAACACGGAAAAAACACATTATTGATGAAAAAGTATTTGAAATGTATTAAAAGACCTTCCGTTTCTACCTGCTTTTTCCCCTGAGATATCCTAAGCAAAAGATCGTAAACTTTCATGAAAATCGCTGTGAATTTCCTAGAAAAGGAGATAGAGACTCTTTTATGAAATATGATTTTTTGAGGGTGTAGTTCTTGTGACACATACATTTCTGGGTCCACGGACTTTTATAAGATAGATGTATCTTGTAGGCGTGGGGTAGGCTACAAAAAACGCATTTATAAAGGAATAATTCAATCTATATGACTATTTATACCTCCTTTACAATGAACACTGGAGATGAAATTTGATCCATATGAAGGTTTATGGCAACAGCAACAACTATATGAATGTACAATTAGAATGCAAATGTTTATTTGTAGGAATATAATAAAAAATAAAACAAAAACATACAAATATCCTCCTCCGCTTCTCCCGGACAGGGGTAGGAATACGTGACTGCTTACACGCGTGACTCGGTTGGTCCTGATTGTTCCCTATCTCTTACTATTCCGCTCAGACCAGCCTGGGCTGATCATTCAGCCTGATCACCTGCCTTCTGAGCGCCTCCCTTCACCTTCCTCAAGAGCAACTCCCTTCCGAGCGCCTCCCTCCTGAGCACGAGTCCCTAAAGTTTACTCACTTCTTCGATGTAAAAAGTGCTCATCAAGCGTGTCTGGCTGATGTGCACAGAGTTTTTTTGATACTTTTCCCTCATCTCCGTCAGCAGCTAGCGAAACACTGCATCAGGGTGATGTTTCCGCTAAAGGATGAATCAAGACTGCCACCTAGTGACAAACCCACGTAAATGTCTTTTTTGACTTTGACATGGACCAGTGGTTGCCGCTTTGCCTCTAAGGCAAACCACTCAAAGCTGCGTTATGAACAAAAAATAACGCATGTTAAAGTGTTTAATGAGTTTTAGATCGTCATATAAGCAGTTAAATTTATTTACACACAATTTGTGTCAGGGTGTCTACTTTCAAGATGTTTAAAAAAAGCTTTAATAAAATTATGTTTGTGGCACTCAATGAGTTAACCATATGAAACATGTCTTCCTGTTGTCTGTCAGACTTTGGGGTTGTAGTCGGAGCGAGTATTACATCACAAAATCATATTTTGTATTACAGGGGTGATTAGACTAACTTTAAGATAAGAATTCTAAGATAAGAATTCCTTTATTCGTCCCACAGTGGGGAAATTTTGATGCATCATTTGTGTTCTATTTGTAGTCAGGGAGGCAACACTGAGCCCACAAAATTTACGACGACAAACTCAATATAGCTATAACTTCTCATGTAAGTATGTGGTGGTTGTGTGGCCAAAACACACCAACAAACAGAGGCAGAGACAATCAATGTTTGGATGCATTTGTCATTTCTCGCCTAGCTGCGATTGCATCTAAAATGCAAGTTGAGATTTTAGAAGATGCGACCACCATAAAGTGGGACATTAAGTTTACCACTTCAGCCTGTGCATCACAAATACTAGGAGTTACATTATTATTAAAGAAGTGAAGAAAGTCGATACTGCTAAGTGGCCCCTTTCACATTTCTATGTGGCTGCAGGAACCTCATACAGTCCACTTTACCACTGGTGGTCTGTTGCTTATTTAAACAATGGTGGCTCCATGTTTTCTTCTCCTTGTCTTTAGATATGTTTGTTCACCGAATAAGTAATTTTATAACTGAAGTAGCTTTCACAGAAAATAAAAAATAGGTTGTGTCAAGTTGAATGTAATGATAACCGCGTGATAATGGGTTCGGCCTGCCAAAATACGGACCCAGAGAAAAAAGAATTGCACATCACTGTTCAAGAGTGTCCAGATTCAGAGAGTGACTTTGCAGCAGCTGTACTGTTCTGGTACATTCCGATTCACTGCGTTGTCTATTAAAAGGAGAGGCTAGGAGTGCTCAGGGGCTCAAAAGTCGTTAGAAGCCGGTGCTCTTTTGAGGGGGCAAGCAAAATTAGTCAGAGGCACTCGGATGAAAAAATCAGGGCTGCGTTGTCTTTTCCTTGTGACCCGTGGACCATGCGCAATGCACATGTGTAGTGTAGAGCTGAAAAGATACCTCGAGTAACTCGAGTAGTTCATGTCCAAAAAATATCATTTCCGTTATCTCAAGGCTTGTTTAGTTTTCCTCGTTTAATAAATCGTAGTCAAAGATCACGCTTTGCTTGTGTTTGTAAAACTTTTTTGCACACAAAGCTCCATAGACTGTACATAGCTCACAATGGAAGATGACGCAGAGAGCACTGGGCTGGAGAAACAAAGTCAATGAGAGCAACAGCAAAACAAGGGAATTATGAAACGTCAAAAGTTTCCAACGTGTGTCAACTCAACACTCAAATCAAAGGTAAAACGCAGTAGTATGCAAACATTGCAAGATAGAGCAAGCATACCACAATAGTAGTAATGGGCGAATGAAGCCCGTAACACACTGAGGCTTTCCTTGACAGACTGAAGCCTCTGCGCTAGCTCAAACCAGTGGGGGCGGGTCCCAGCTCAAAAGTGGCCAAAATGACGTGCGCTGACATGCTTGCAATACCACCCCGGGCCGATGGGGGTGGACCCAGAAGAATTAGCCAATGCTGACATATAACGTTAGCAGACCTATCAAAAACGTCTTCACAGGATGGACCAAAAGTTGGCTCTTGGCCCAAAGTTCCGTTCCGTATGTGTGTCAATGCTGAGGGGGGTGAATTTTTTTGGTCCACTCTAGTTTACTCGCTGTGAATTTTTGAAGTCTCTCGTTCAAATGAATGGAGCTGCGCCGGCTGACGCATGCGCAGATGCTTTTTTTCACAATTTTCTTGTGGGCGGGACCACTCGCGGCCATCTTGGATTGCTCCATGAAAGCACTTTTCATGGCCAACTCCTATGAACAGCGGAGATAGGCGTGACTCTGTCCGTTATTATATACAGTGCCTTGCGAAAGTATTCGGCCGCCTTGAACCTTTCAACATTTCGCCACATTTCAGGCTTCAAACATAAAGATATAAAAATTAAATTTTTTGTCAAGAATCAACAAGTGGGACACAATCGTGAAGTGGAACGAAATTTATTGGATAATTTAAACTTTTTTAACAAATGAAAAACTGAAAAGTGGGGCGTGCAATATTATTCTGCCCCTTTACTTTCAGTGCAGCAAACTCACTCCAGAAGTTCAGTGAGGATCTTTGAATGATCCAATGTTGTCCTAAATGAATGATGATGATAAATAGAATGCACCTGTGTGTAATCAAGTCTCCGTATAAATGCACCTGCTCTTTGATAGTCTCAGGGTTCTGTTTAAAGCGCAGAGAGAACCATGAAGACAAAAGAAACACACCAGGCAGGTCCGAGATACTGTTGTGGAGAAGTTTAAAGCCTGATTTGGATACAAAAAGATTTCCCAAGCATTAAACATCTCAAGGAGCACTGTGCAAGCAATTATATTGAAATGGAAGGAGTATCAGACCACTGCAAATCTACCAAGACCCGGCCGTCCCTCCAAACTTTCATCTCAAACAAGGAGAAGACTGATCAGAGATGCAGCCAAGAGGCCCATGATCACTCTGGATGAACTGTAGATAACTACAGCTGAGGTGGGAGAGTCTGTCCATAGGACAACAATCAGTCGTGCACTGCACAAATCTGGCCTTTATGGAAGAGTGGCAAGAAGAAAGCCATTTCTCAAAGATATCCATAAAAAGTCTCGTTTAAAGTTTGCCACAAGCCACCTGGGAGACACACCAAACATGTGGAAGAAGGCGCTCTTGTCAGATGAAACCAAAATCGAACTTTTTGGCCACAATGCAAAACGATATGTTTGGCGTAAAAGCAACACAGCTCATCACCCTGAACACACCATCCCCACTGTCAAACATGGTGATGGCAGCATCATGGTTTGGGCCTGCTTTTCTTCAGCAGGGACAGGGAAGATGGCTAAAATTGATGGGAAGATGGATGGAGACAAATACAGGACCATTCTGGAAGAAAACCTGTTGGAGTCTGCAAAAGACCTGAGACTGGGACGGAGATTTATCTTCCAACAGGACAATGATCCAAAACATAAAGCCAAATTTACAATGGAATGGTTCACAAATAGACGTATCCAGGTGTTAGAATGGCCAAGTCAAAGTCCAGACCTGAATCCAATCGAGAATCTGTGGAAAGAGCTGAAGACTGCTGTTCACAAACGCTCTCCATCCAACCTCACTGAGCTCGAGCTGTTTTGCAAGGAAGAATGGGAAAGAATTCCAGTCTCTCGATGTGCAAAACTGATAGAGACATACCCCAAGCGACTTACAGCTGTAATTGCAGCACAAGGTGGCGCTACAAAGTATTAGCGCAAGGGGGCCGAATAATATTGCACGCCCCACTTTTCAGTTTTTTATTTGTTAAAAAAGTTTAAATTATCCAATAAATTTTGTTCCACTTCACGATTGTGTCCCGCTTGTTGTTGATTCTTGACAAAAAATTTAATTTTTATATCTTTGTTTGAAGCCTGAAATGTGGCGAAATGTTGAAAGGTTCAAGGGGGCCGAATACTTTCGCAAGGCACTGTACAGTCTATGGCTCAAACTAGCTTGTAACACTGACATCTAGTGGACAAATGTAATCATTGTTGCTTATTAATAGCAGAGGTTCATATTTTTTCCATAACTTTAGCAAAATAAAGATGCAAGTATAAAATACTGTATGTTCTATTGCCAGAAATACCATCATCATCATGATTAAGTGGTTTGTCATTTGATATTGTATATTTATAATTAATCCTTAATTAAACAAAAATATTATATATTTTATTTATCGATCAAAATAGTCAATATCATCATGTCATTTCATCCACCCATTTCCTCAGGTCTCCTGGACTCACTTGAGGAAATCCGGTGTACTCCTGCTAGGTTGAAATTAAATCCTGCAGCCACACTGGCCCTTTGAGGACCGGTTTGACACCCCTGTTCTAACTTATGCATGTGTCTCTGTCTAGATGTATGGTAAAGATCACGGGGGATCTGACCATGTCCTTCCCTGCCGGCATCACCCGTGTTTTTGGCTCCCACTCTAACGGGCCAGTGCTAAGCTTCAGGCTTGTCAACATTTCACGCATCGACCACTTCCTGCCCAATCAGAAGCTGCTCTTCAGGTTTGCTGACTCGTGTGCGTGTGCGTGCGTGCGTGCTTAATTAATCGTTATCATTTGCATTTTCAACTATCGGCAAAATGATGCCATACTTTTCTGTAAATGGTTGTTTGAATGGAAAGATAAATGACACAATAGTGTACATATGTACTGTATTTGTTTATTATAACAATTAATCCACATACAATGGCATTAACATTATTCACATTCTTTCTTTCTGTAGTAGACAGTATTATTTCATTTTTGGATCCTATTAATTATTGCACCTGGTGGCTTGTAGGAGGTCAAGGGACACTACTCTCAATGCTTTAACGAGACCCTTATCTTCAACTATGTTAAACGGCCCAGGCCTGGACTGGGACTTAGAAACGTTGTTTCATGTTTTCAAGGTATGTGGACCACATACTGTAGATCAGGGGTCGGCAACCCGCGGCTCCGGAGCCGCATGCGGCTCTTGAGTGCTCCTGGAGTGGCTCCTGGAGCCTTTTCAAAAATGTCTGAAAATGGAGTGTGAGGGCTATATTTTATTTCTAGTTTGAATGTGGTTTCTGTAGAAGGAAAAACAATCTTTACGTTTTTAAATGCTGTAAAAATATGTATAAGTAATATCTAATTTCAACATTTCTGTCAACGTAGTGCGTCATATCCTATGACGCGCAGTCACGCGGCCCCGCCCCATGCGGCCGCTGCTGTAAACAAACCGGCGTGTGTGCATCATAGACTTTAGTGCACATGGATCCCAAAGCTAAAACGAGAAAGAGTCGATAACAAGACTGGACGAAGAATGAGAATGAACATTTTCTTTCAGTCAATGAGGAAGGACTGCTTCATGTTTGTAATGAAAAGTTTTGTTGCAACACGAGGAACAATGACGCGCAAAACGACGTAAACGGTGATTACGTGAAGGATTCATTCATCAAAAATTCAGAGCACCTATTTTCAGACTTCAAAACCTTCTCAAAGACGGTGAAAGAAAAGGCCATTAAGGATTTTAATTCAGCTCCAGAAAACTTCAGCCTGTGACGTGATGGATATGAGCAGACAGTGATGCAGGTATGTGACCTCTGAGCCCAAAGCAGATTGATTTACTGTATTTCTACAATTGCATGAAGGCAAAAAAATGGAAGTTAAACTAAGCAGAGTTGTCCCGTGTTGCGTCATTCACGACACGCTGCAGTGAAAATACACATTTGATAATCATGAATGATTATTATGTATTTGTAGCCTTTACTTTGTCATTTAGATATTAGGCTAATATAGCTAATACATCTTGCAGCCTGTGTTAACTTCATAAAAGCCTTATACAAGGCTGTTATTTTTTTGCGGCTCCAGACAGATGTTGTTTTTAGTTTTTTTTGTCAATTATGGCTCTTTGAACATTTTGGGTTCCCGACCCCTGCTGTAGATGATGTATGTAGTTTCAACAATTGAAATAAAGTGCAAACGTCTACATACAAGAGAGTAATTAACATCTCACCACACAGACTGAGGAAGATGGACACAGACCAAAACTATTGTTTGTTACAAGGATGAGAATGGGACATTTAAAAAAAGTCTGAAATGCAAAATGTCAGACAATGGCTGTCATTAAATCTGTTTGATTTTCTCACAACATTTGAAAGGGAAAAATTTGGTACCCCAACTTTAATTTCCATCCATCCATCCATCCATCCATTTTCTTCCGCTTTATCCGTTGCCGGGTCGCGGGGGCAGCAGTCTAAGCAGAGACGCCCAGACTTCCCTATCCACACACACTTCCCCCAGCTCGTCCGGGGGGACCCCAAGGCGTTCCCAGGCCAGCTGAGAGACATAGTCTCTCCAGCGTGTCCTAGGTCTTCCGCGGGGCCTCCTCCCGGTGGGACGTGCCCGGAACACCTCCCCAGGGAGGCGTCCAGGAGGCATCCGGAACAGATGCCCGAGCCACCTCAACTGGTTCCTCTCGACGTGGAGAAGCAGCGGCTCTACTCCGAGCTCCTCCCGTGTGACTGAGCTCCTCACCCTATCTCTAAGGGAGCGCCCAGCCACTCTGCGGAGGAAGCTCATTTCGACCGCTTGTATCCGCGATCTCGTTCTTTCGGTCATTACCCAAAGCTCATGACCATAGGGGAGGGAGGGAATAAAGATTGACCGGTAAATCGAGAGCTTTGCCTTTCAGCTCAGCTCCCTCTTTACCACAAAGGGCAGCCCTGTCGGAGGCCAACATTCACCGGGAACAGGTCTGACTTACTGCCGGCAATGCGAACACAGCTCTGGCTCCGGTCATACAGGGATCGGATGGCCCTCAGCAGAGGACCTCCGACCCCGTACTCCCGGAGAACCCCCCAAAGGACACCCCGGGGAACACAGTCGAACGCCTTCTCCAAATCCACAAAGCACATGTGGACAGGTTGGGCGAACTCCCATGAACCCTCGAGTATCCGATGGAGAGTATAGAGCTGGTCCAGTGTTCCGTGACCGGGACGAAAACCACACTGCTCCTCCTGGATCCGAGATTCGACCATCGGCCGTAACCTCCTCTCCAGTACCTTGGAGTAGACCTTACCGGGGAGGCTGAGGAGTGTGATCCCACAATAATTGGAACACACCCTCCGGTCCCCCTTCTTGTAGAGAGGGACCACCACCCCAGTCGAGGTCAGCAGCTCTCCACCCGCACCGTACATGGTGTTGGCAAAGAACTGCTTCTCCCTCCTGAGGCGCCGGATGGTTTGCCAGAATCTCTTCGAGGCCGACCGATAGTCATGCTCCATGGACTCTCCGAACTCCTCCCAGTCCCGGGTTTTTGCCTCTGCAACGGCCCGGGCCGTGGCACGCTTGGCCTGCCGGTACTGGACAGCTGCCTCAGGAGTCCCCCGAACCATCATGGCTCGATAGGACTTCAGCCTGACAGCATCCCTTACTGCCGGTGTCCACCACCGGGTTCGGGGGTTGCCGCCGGGACCAGCACCAGAGACCTTGCGACCACAGCTACGAGCCGCCGCATCGGCGATTGAGGCAGAGAACATGGTCCACTCGGACTCCATGTCCCCCTCCTCCGCCGGGACCTGGGAGAAACTCTCCCGGAGGTGTGAGATGAAAGTCCGTCTGACAGGGGGCTCAGCGAGACGTTCCCAGCAGACCCTCACTATACGCTTGGGTCTGCCAGGTCTGACCGGCTTCTTCCCCTGCCAGCGGATCCAACTCACGACCAGGTGATGATCGGTTGACAGCTCCGCCCCTCTCTTTACCCGAGTGTCCGAGACACGCGGTCAAAGGTCAGATGATACGACAACAAAGTCGATCATCGACCTCCGGCCTAGGGTGTCCTGGTGCCACGTACACTGGTGGACACCCTTGTGCTCGAACATGGTGTTCATGATGGACAAACTGTGACTGGCACAGAAGTCCAACAACTGAACACCGCTCGGGTTCAGATCAGGGGGGCCGTTCTTCCCGATCACCCCTCTCCAAGTGTGACTGGCGTTTCCCACATGGGCGTTGAAGTCCCCCAGGAGAAGTCCCCGGGCGGTGCACCGTCCAGTACCCCTCCCAAGGACTCCAAGAAGGCCGGGTACTCTGCACTGCTGTTAGGCCCGTAGGCCGTCACAACAATGAGAGACTTGTCCCCCACCCGGAGGCGGAGGGACGCGACCCTCTCATTCACCGGGGAGAACTCCAACACGTGGCGGCTGAGATGGGGGGCAATGAGAATGGCCACCCCAGCTCGCTGCCTCTCCCCGCGGGAAACTCCAGAAAAGTGGAGCATCCAACCCCTCTCAAGGAGTTGGGTTCCAGAGCCCAAGCTGTGTGTGGAGGTGAGGCCGACTATCTCTAGTCGGTATCGCTCAACCTCCCCCACGAGCTCGGGCTCCTTCCCCCCCAGTGAGGTGACGTTCCACGTCCCAAGAGCCAGATGTTGTGTGTGCGGACTGGGTCGCCGAGGTCTCCGCCTTCGACTGCCGCCCAGTCCTCTCAGCACCGCGCCACCACGGACCCCTCTGCAGGTGGTGGGCCCACAGGAGGCAACAACCTCGATAAAGCTTAATTTATCGAGTTTAAATGCGCTTCAGGGGGAGACCTGTACACCTCTTGAGGCTCCATAGTGCAGCTTCAGCGATTTTATTTTTTATTGCGTGCACAGGTTACTTACAGACACGCACACAAAAGCAGAGCATAGTTCTGTGCACGTGTATGGTCTTGGATACATGGTCCTGTGTCTATGGTCCTGTGCACGTGTATGGTCTTGGATATGACCACGTTATGGCGGCGTTCACCGTGTTGTTGTCTGTGAAAAACTGGTCACATTTCAACAACATAATCTCTTTAATACATTTTGTGAATGCTGGTTCAAACTACAGTTATACAATACAATACAATACAATGTATTCTTGTATAGCCCTAAGTCACAACAGAAGTCATCTCAGAGGACTTAACAAAACCATTGAAATCACCAACAAAGATCAGAGAATCAACAGTTAAAACACATGAAAAATATGAAGCACACACAGACAAAAATGTCCATGCATGTTGTAGAATGCTAAAGTGTCCTGGATCATCACCAATCCTTTCTGTTGGACACTAACTGTCCAACAAGACCCTCCTGCATCGGCAAGGAAAAACGCAGTGGGAAAAAGTGAGAAACCTTGGGGAGACCTAGGGAAATCCACAGGCTAATGATCCAGGACCTAAGCTATCTACAGAACGTGGACCAGTGGCCGCTGAACGTGAACAGGTCCGGTGCAAGACTGAAGCATTCCCAGGCGGGTCGGCCAGGACAGTCCGCAGGTGTAGATGGAGGAGGCCGGGCTCAGAGGTCCCGTCATCGTATCATGAAACAGACAATGGGACAACGGGTGAATAGCAATGAACAAACTACAGTCAAAATCCTAAAAAGCCTAGGCTACAGCACCAAGATTCATGGATTGCACACCAAGTGTGCAAACCGATCCAGGCAAACAGCCTAACTATATGCTAAATTAAAGTAGAGTGCTTTAAGCCTGGCTTTGAATGTGGAGACCGTATCTGCTTCCTTAACATGAATGGGAAGCTGATTCCACAGTAAAGGAG